AGATCAGTTGAAACATACCTACATGTACACGATGAAAACTGTCAGAGAGTTCATGGGAAAATGTTTAGGCCATGATTTTACTAGATAAATAGTGGAAATTTTATTTCCTGGATCATCTTATGGTAAAAGGATAAGCCTGATTTATATATTGATGGACCCTGGTCCAGACTGTGAATTTATAGGATTTCCCATTATCTTGACATACATATAGACCAGAGCTACATGAGAAAGGGAGTATAAGTAAAAGAGCAGACCGGTCTATAACATGATATTAACAATACTGTGGATTATGGAAGTCATGACTAGAATTATAGGATGTCAGACCTTGAAAATAGAGGGAAGCTTCAAAGACCAAAGCAGTAAGAAGATATGACAAAAAGAGTACGTTGTGAATGTGTGTGCAAGGGGATAGCTTCCAGATCACTGTTGTGTGCTGAGTATGTCTGTCTTCTGAGAATTAACAAAGACCAATAAACACTTCTTACAGGGATGGATTAAGTGGCTGCTTCCTCTGAATTCCAAAAAATACCTAAGCAGTCTCATCAATGGGTAGCAACAAAACCATGACACTGTTAAGAACTTTCATTTTTAATTTTCATAGTTGGTTGGTAATGAAGATGACGATATGCATCAGGGACACCCTGTGGGAAAGACTAAAGGGGCCAGTTTCAGCAGTTCCGTCTCAGAAGATGGAAGCATGAGCCTGTTCCTGATACTCTAAGGCTGAAAATGGGGGTGGAAGTTTTGTTGGTGATGGTCCTTGCCATCGCTAGCATCAATTGTCCACCCTTATTATCCATGATTTGTTTGTGGGATGTGCAGAATTTCTGAATATTACTATTAGTACATTACATTCAGAGAGAAAAATATTTAGTGAACAGGGGAAAATCAGTCAGACAATAAGCATTTATTAAGCACCTACTGTGTGCTAGGCACTGTGCTATGTGCTGGGGATAAAAAGAAAATCATAAATAGTGGAATAAAAATACCCTATTACATTTACCAATTCCAAAGTACAGCAGGTTTAAAATTTTTTAATTATGCTTTGTGTTTTTCCTCTTTTATAATTTCTGTTGTCTTTCAGCACAATCCATAATTGCTAAATGGCTTAGATGCAATCTTGGGTGCTTAGCAAGTGGTTTCTGGTAATGAAATTCTGTTCATCATTCCACTTTCAGATTTGCAGTATGGCTTTATGCTTTAACCAGCATTGGTGGCAGAATGATATGGCAGCAGATGAAGCAAAACACCAATATGATGAATGATGTTCTTGGAAGGGGAATAGTTGTGGTGATAATTAAAATTCACCCCTTTGGTACTTGGACTTTATCCATTCAGCAGTTTCTCTGCCCAGATCATTTATTAGTCAAAGAGATATAGAAGTGTTTGCTTTGCATTATTTATTCTCAAGGTCTGAAGCAGTAACAGCAAAATCCTTTTTATGCTTTTAGGTTGATGATGCCTTTAAATGCAATCTGTTTTAAGGGGATAGGAATCAAAAGAGAAAAGCTAGGTGATAATCTTCCGAAAAACTCTAACCCCCTTCCCTCCTCCCCCATCTCATGTCAGGAATTGCTGATCTCTGATGAATGCGGATTCTCTCAGTTTGATTTTCCTGGAGGTCTCTCAAACACATGACACCCTTATCCTTTTTTTTTTCCTCTCCCATCTAGCCAATGGGGTTAAGGGACTTGCCCAGGGTCACACAGCTAATAAGTGTCAAGTGTCTGAAGTCGGATTTGCACTCAGGCCCTCCTGACTCCAGAGCCGGTGCTCTATGCACTGCACCATGTAGCTGCCCCATGACATTCTTATCCTAATCAAACCTATGGCATTTTCTGAGGGTCTCTTTGGTGTAAATGAGGTTGAGGGGAAATGTATACACACACACACACACACACACACACATAGGTATGTATGTATATATCATAAGTATCTACTATGTTCCAAGCTCAGTGGGATACAAAGACAAAAATTAAACATTCCCTGCCCTCAAGGAGCCAGCATTCTATCCAAGGATCTTATGGTCAACAAGTATTTATTATTAAGGGCTAACTTAACTGTGTGTCAGCTGTGGGAAGCACTGAGGATAAAAAGAAAGGCAAACAACAATCTCAGCTCTCAGCAGCTCAAAATCTAATGGGGGAGGGAGAGGGGCCCAATTTCTTCAGGACCATTAAATTCCCCTAATCTAGCCTCCCTAGACTGATCCCCAAGTGTCCCCTCCTGTTCCTCCTCCTCCTCCATTCTCTTCCTTCTCTTTCTCTTTTCTTTTTCCCCTTTCCTTCTCTTTTCTGCTTCCTAGGAAAGCATAAGAACTAGCATCTTTTTCAAAGTCTTTCTTAATTTCTTGCAGGTGAATGTCTATCCAAATGACAGCCTGGAACGCTGTGGGAGTATTCCAGCCTTGAAATGATATTATTCAAATCTCTCTCTTTTTTCCCAACAAAGAGGCTTCAGTGTGCTAACTCCTCAGCTGAGTTCACAATTCAGTGTTGTTTCTTTAAAACTGTTTAACGTCAGAGATCTAATGCTATAGCAACCGTCCATCATATCGCATTAGCTCCCAAGAAAGGGAGGGAGGAAAGAAGAAGGGGGGAAAGGGAGGGAAACTGCTCTTTTCTGCTGCATAGGTTTCAGAGTGAGCCAATGCAATGGGTGCATTTATTGGGGTTTTAGTTGGATACACAAATCTAAAATAACTGGATTCAGCTAGCAGTGGAGGTGGCAAGCATTTGCAACCCTCCTTGGGCAATATGCATGTAATTTTTCTATGGCAGTACACGGAGCTATGTTCTCGAGGCTGTAGGGCAGAATTACGTGGTAGGCAACAGGGAAGCTTGAGAAAACTACAACATACTGGATCAGAAACTGAGAAGTGGAAGCAAACTGGGTTCCAGCTTACTCTAGCTTACTACTTACTATTACAGAATTGAAGGACCCAGAAGTGGTCTCTGCTACCCAGTCCCATTTTACAAATGGTAAAAATCAAAGTCCAGAAAATGAAGTAGCTTGCTCAAGTTAATCAATTGACATTTATTAAGTAACTACTGTTTGCGAAGCACCAAGTACTAAGTAATGGCAAGGCAGTTTTGGGAGGTATACGTTACACATATTAGGCAGTTATTATGCACTTACTATAAATATATATTTTTACTGGACTTGTGATTTCAACAGTGTGTAGGGAGTTTCTCACGAGGAGCTAAACCCTAGCAAATGGAGATTTGGCCTTCTCTGCATTTTATAGTCTAGAAAGATTTTTTTAAATATGTTTATCTGCATAGACAAGAGGCAAGGTACCAATGAAAAGACAGATGAGGGAGCTGGGTTCAAGTTCTGCTTCTGGAGGGCACACAGTAGCAGTGGGACCTTGGGCATATTAACCTCTCTCCCTGCTCTAGTCAGCTCTCCTGAGTATAAACAATAGAGAAGGCACCAATACGAACTGGCATATAGGAAGTTCCTCACCAAGCAGTTCCTTATATCAATGAGACCGGCAAGTCTTTAGAGGTATACAGCAATCTTCCTCAATAAATTGTTAAGTTCAGGAGCAACCTGAACTTAACATGAGGTCATGAGGACTTGAGTTCAAATCCAACCTCAGACACTAGCTGTATGACCCCTGGGCAAGTCACTTAACTCCAATTGCCTCAAGTGTTTATTTTTCTTTTTCTTTTGTCTTTGTATCACCCCCTTCATGCTGGTGCTTTCTGTTGATTACCTCCAATTTATCTTGAATGTATCTTGTCTTTACAGACATTGTACATAAGAATATTTTTTGCCTTTTCTTTCCCTGAGCATGAGACAGTGCCTGGCACTAGTAGTAGCTGCTCAATAAATGCTTGTTGAAAGACTTACTGATCAGAGGTTAGCACAGGGTATGGCCCAAGGAGCATCGGAAGCCTCATGTGCCTTGATCAATCACTCAATAAACATGTATTAAGCACCTACTGAGTGCCAGGCGTGGTGTAAAGCGATGGAGATACAAAAAGAGGCAAGACAGTCCCTGCCCTCGAGGAGCTAACAGTCCAATGGAGGAGACATCATGTAAACAAATCTATATAAGGTGATATAAATGCAGAATAAATAGGAAATAATAAACAGACGGGAAGCATTGTGATTAAGAGGGTTTAGGAAAGGCTTCCTGTGTAAGGTGAGATTTTAGTAGGGATTTAGAGAAAACCAGGGAAGACAGTAGTCAGAGGAAGGGAAGGAGAGATCATTCCGGGTACGGGGGACAGCCAGAATGAACGGAACCGAGGGATGGAGTCTTGTTTGTGGAAACAGCCACAAGGCCGGTGGATCACCGGATCGGATTTTTCCTGCTGGGGAGTCGGGTGTAGGAAGACTGGAGACAGGTTAGGAAGGGCTTTGAATGCCAAACCGAGCATTTTGCAATCGCTCCTGGAGGCGATAGGGAGTTTATGGAGTAGCGGGAGACGTAGTCAGATCTGTGCTCTAGGAAAGTCACTTTAGTGGCTAAATGGGGGATGGATGGAAGTGGGGAGAGCCTCGAAGCAGGTGGGACTGCAGGCAGGCCTGCACCAGGGCGGTGGTCCGGGTCACCGAGAGCTTGCACGGTGCCAGGCGCCCAGGAGTCGAGGCCTGCCCTCAAGGAGCTTGCACTCTCCCCTTCGTCGATGGCCACGGGACGGAGGCGAACCTTCGGGTGTCCCAAGGTCTTTAGGGCTCTCTACACCAGGCTCCCGGAGCCCTGCTCTGCAGCGGCTGCAGAGAAAACCAAAAGGGGCTGGGAACGACCCTCCCCCATCCCCGCCCTTCTAGCCCCCAGTGGGAAAATAGGAAGCCGGCCGGGCCGCAGCCGCCTCTGGCGCATGCGCCGTGCTCCTTCCCCGTCCTCCCCCCTTTTCTGGTCGCAGTGGGTCGGTCCGCCGGGGGCCTGGCTGGGGGGCCGTACCATTGCGGCGCGGGGGCGGGGGGAGAGGGCGGTGCCTGAGCGGCCCCCCGCGGCGGCATCGGGGCACTCCCTCCTTAGCTAGCTGCTTGCTGCTGGTTCGGCTGCGGGAGCCCGACGGGAGCGGTGCGGAACTCGGCGGCGGCGGCCGGGAAGAAGGCTGCAGCGGCGAGGGAAGAGGACGAGGCTCGGCGGCGGCGGCCAAGGCTCAGGACCCTCGGCCCGGGTGGGGCGCGGGCTCTCGGCAGCCGAGGCGGCTGAGGCGGCCGCGCCGCTCTGGGTGTGGCCGGGCTGTCCGGGCCTCCGGCCCCGGGGCTATGAGCCGCGAGCGCGCGAGCCCGAGCCCGAGCCGCTGCTAGAGGCCGCTCGGCGGGCAGGCGGCCCGAGGAGGAGCCGCGCGGCCCCGGCAGGTAAGGCGGCGGGAGGGGAAGGGCCCGGCCCGCGCTGCGCGGGACTGCCCTGCCCTGCCCTGTCCTGTACTGTCCTGCCCTGCCCTGCGCTGCCCAATCCTGCCCTGCGCTGCCCTGCCCTGTACTGTCCTGCCCAGTCCTGCCCTGCTGTGCCCTGCCCTGTCCTGCGCTGCCCTGCCCTGTCCTGCGCTGCCCTGTCCTGCCCTGCGCTGTCCTGTCCTGCCCTGCGTGCCCCCTCCCTGCCCCTGGTCCTGCCCCTCCCCTGCACGTCTTCTCTTTCCCTTTCTTCTCCTCTCCTCCCCTACTCTTCCCTTCTCCCCTTCCTCCTTTTCTTCCCCTCCCCTTCGTTCTCCCCTCTCCTCCCTTTTCTCCTTCCTCCTTTTTCCTCTTCTCCTCCTTTCTCCTCCCTCCCCTTCTTCCTCCTTTTCCTCCTGCCTCCCTCCTCGTCCTCTTCCCTTTTTCCCTTCCTCCTCCTCCCTTCCTGTTCCCCCCTCTCCTTCATCCACTTTTTCCTCTCCTCTCATCTTCTTCCCCTCTCCTCTTCTTCCCTCTTGCTTTCCTCCTCCGTTCTCTTTCTTCTTTTTATTTTCTCTTTTCTGCACTTCCTTCTTTCACCTTTCTCCCCTTCCTTCTCTCCTTCCTTTTCTCCTCCCCTGTTTCCTTCTCCCTTTCTTTCCCTTCTTTTCTCCTTCTTCTCCTCTTCCTTTTCCCTTCTGTCTCCCTCCCCTCCCTTTTTCTCTTCTTCCTCCCCTTTCTCTTCCCTCTCCTTCCTTCTCTTTCCTTTCCCTTCCTTTTTCTCTCCTTCCCTTTTCTATCCCTTTTCTTCCTCCTCCTCTTCCACCCGAAGTTTTCCCAATTCTGTGATTCTGAGAAGAAAGAAGGGCCTTTAGAGGCCTTGGAAACAGTTCAACCCTTAGGGCCATGGGATGGATCATAGCTTTAGAACTTGGAGGGACCTCAGGCAGCTGGGTGGTGCCAGAGTGGGTGAAGGGCTGGGCCTGGAGTCAGAAAGCCCCTAGTTCAAATCCAGCCCCAAATCCGGGCTTGCTAGCTGTGTGACCAAGTCACATAACCTCTGCCTGCCTCAGTTTACTCAACTGTAAAATAGAGATAATAATAGCATCTACCTCCCAGGATTGTTGTGAAGATCAACTGATACCATATTTGTAAGGCACTTAGCATGGTGCCTGGCACATAGTAGGAGCTTAATAAATGAGTGCTTAATAAATGCTTATTCCCTGCCTTTTGGAGGCCATCCAGTAGACTCACTGGAAGAGCACTGGTCCTGGGAATAGAGGACCTTGGTTCTAATCCCACCTTCACACTTGACAAATCACTAGGCTTCAGTTTCCTCATCTGTAAAATTGAGGGGATGGGGGTGGAGTAGGTGGCTTCTCTTGCTCCTTCCAGGTGTAGATCTATGATCTTATGAACCTCAGAGGTCTTTTACTCCAGCTCCGTCATTTACCTATGAAAAAACTGAGGTCCTGGGAGGTAAAAGGCCCTCGGTGAGGCCATGCCATGCTGCTGAGATGCCTCTGCTTTAGTGAGAGCTAAACTCCCTGGCCCAACTCCCCACAAGTGGTTCTTCAGCTTTTGCTTGATGACCTCTGGGGAGGATTAGCCCCTTAATGAAGTCAGTTCCACTTTGGGATCAGTTGAGGAACCTAGTTTGTTTGTTTTTTCCTTACAACAAGTCTAAACCTGCTTCTTTCTGTGTTGTCTCAGGCACTAAAGTGTAAGGTTCCTGAAAGACGGACACACACACACACATACACACACACACATATACATACACTGTTTTACTTTTCTTTTTAACCCTATCACTTAGCACTGTGCTTGGCACACCAGATAGTAGACTTGATTTGCTTCTCTGTTGTTTCTACTCTAAGCTAAACATCCCCAGTCATGCAACAGATCCAGAGCTGACATGATCTCCAGGGCTTTGGTTGTCCTCCTCTGGACATTTTATCAAAGTTTATCAAAGGCCATCTCGAAATGAGGCGCCCAGAACTGAACATGTGGTCTGGATGGTGTTCAGTCGGGAGTATCATCACTTCCCTAATCATAGATACTATCCTGTTAATAAAACCTAAGGTTGCATTAGGGTTTTCCCCCCTGCCATATTATCCTATTGACTTGTAATTGAGTTTGCTTTGTACTAAAACCTCCTTTTCTAGTGCCTTTCCCCTTCCCTCTATGTGCTGGGCTTCCTCCTTTTCCCTGCAATGCCCTCGTGGCTTTTCCTTCCTAACCTCTGATGGAGCGGGAGGGAGGAAAGTTATGCCTCCTGCAAGGAGGTCTGCACCTCTCTAGTCCTCATCTTCTTCATGTATAAAGTAACAGTTGGACAAGATGATGATTCTATCTATGAGTCTGCATTTGAACGTATCGGTACATGGATCCAGCTCATCTCCATTGTGTAGTAGAAAGAACAATAGACTGGGTTCTATTCCTGGCTTTGTCTCCAATTAGCTGTGAGACCTTGGACAAGTTATTTTTGCTCACTGGGTCTCAGTTACCTCATCTGTAACATAGAGGGTTGGATTACATGTGGTCGCTAGGTTTCTTTCTACCTCTAAATCCTGGGATTCTCTGGCTTCCCTTCTCCTTTCATATGTTGACTTCCTTTTTGTTTGTGTTTAAGGGGTGTTATATTCAACTTGCATCTTGAGATTAGAACTTGGGTTTTTGCTGTATTTCCTACCTTCTGCTATCCTGGTGTGAGAAAAGCAGTATCACAGATTTAGAGTTTAGAAATAATCAAGTCCATACCTATTCTCTTACAGATAAGGAAACAGGATCAGAGAGGTCCAAGTCACACAGTAGCAGAGCTAGTATTTGAACTCAAAATTTCTGATACTAAAGTTATATTTTTTCCATTATACCATGCTATCCTGTCTCCCCTCCTCTTCCCTCTCTCCCCTCTCTCTGTTTCCCCCCCCTCCCGGTTGTATCTTTGGTTTATTGCTTTGGGAATATTATCTGGAAGTTTGTGCTTTGGCCTTACAAGTGATCCTATTCTCCAGGATAATGAGAGAGAGAGAGAGAGAGAGAGAGAGTCTTTGTCTTTGTGTATGTATATGTAGTAAAGCAATCCTTAGATTTGAGTGCTGTTTACTTCCTTTGTGTCCAAGACCACTCATCTTTCCTTAGAGACCAATCTAGCACCAGTATCCTCTAATTACCATTAGATTGTCCTTGAATCTTTTGAAGTAATGATTATTTGTTTAATTTTTTAAAGGGCAGCTAGGTGGTGCAATAGATAGAGCACTGGGCATGGAATCAGGAAGGCTGGTCTTCATGAGTTCAAATCCAGCCTCAGACACTAGCTGTGTGACCCTGGGGAAGTCACTTTACCCTGTTTACCTCAGTTTCCTCATCTGTAAGATGAGCTGGAGAAGGAAATGGCAAACCACTCCAGTATCTTTACCAAGAGAAGCCCAAAATGGAATAGTGAAGAGTTAGATACGACTGAAATGACTGAACAACAATTTGTTGAAAATAAAACTTAGGAGGTGGGAGAAGGGAAATGACATTAGTAAGTCACACAAAAGATCGTGTGTACAATTCAACAGACATTAAGTTCTAGATGGATAATTAATACTGATGTCAGTGATATCACATCAAAGTATTTCTTAAATGGTAATTTTTGTACATTACATTGTGTCCTTAAGAACATTAGGTTCTTAGCCTGGGATCCATGGACTTATTTTAAAAAAAAATTTTGGTGACTCTTTCAGTATAATCAATTTCCTTTGTTTTTTACATTTAAGAAATTATTCTGAGAAGGCTTCACCAGACAGCCAAGGGTCTAGAGAACCCCGGTCTGGAGAAACAACATAAATACAGTTCTGTGGAAATGTTACTGCATTTAAAAGGTTGTTTGTAAATGGAGAAATAATTTATTGAAGAGAGGAGTTATTTTCCTTCCTTTTTTTCTTTTTATGACTGAACATTTTTCCACCTCCCTGATAAATACATCATTACCTTACAGTTTGCAATTCACTGATTCAGAGACAAGGAGTTACATCGAAAGCAAACAGGTTTTTACTTGTGCTAATGTGGAGGCAAGCCTTTGCCAATGTGGATCTTTTTTTTTTTAAGTAAATGAAGAAAGGGTTGGATTTTTTCTCCCCCTGTTAAATCTGCATTCTGCCAAGATGCCTTTGGATTTAGAAATACTTTAGGCCCCAAATGATAATCAGTACATGATTCCCTTTTTTAATTCGGCTCTCAACCTTATCTTCCCAGTCTTGTGAACTGAGATTGAGATAGTTACTTCCTCCTTTCCAATCTGGTAGAAGTCATATTTGTAGAGAAAACATACTTTGGGGGCTGTTTTCCTGATACTTAAAATTATGTACAACTCTAAAATGTAATCCCTGTGCTTTTAGGCCCTTTGACAAGACATATTTTCAAATTTTGCTTTAAAAATAACTCTTTTGTGTGGGAGTTCAGCCTTGTTCATTCCAACTAGAGTGGAGAAATTCTGCCTTGCACAATTGAGTTGTGGTTTTAGGTGATACTTTCCCCCCTCACTACTCCTAGAGTCTTGGAATTTTATTTTTCATCAATTAACGGAGGCCTTTGTGCAGACTTAGACCAAAAATCTTGGTTTTCCATAAGCACTTGTTTTCTCCTAGTGCAGTTCATTTGGAGATCAATTTAAAGAGGAATAAGAAACTTCCACTGGTACCTAATGCTCAGAATAATCATAAGTTTAGCCATCGTGATAAAGTAGTATTTATGCTTTAATGTCCTACATTGGTTACCTTTTTAAAAAATTATGTATACATCTGTAAAGTTGGTAGTGACATAAATATAGATAAATTCTTATGCCTAGGACCACTAATAGATACCTTTTTTTCTTTTTAAATCTGTGGAATTGATTTTATTAATATGACTGGGTTGTGCTGTAAGTTTAAGGTGTATCAGAGTTTTCTTTTTTTTTTTGAATAGGCATTTGAACCAATTGAAAAGTTAGTAGAATTAGTGCT